AGTGAGCCCCTTCCTTAGTGCAGGGGAGTCACTTTTTAGATCTTCTTTGATGCAGGGCAGTTGCTTTAAAAAAATAGTGTAAAGATGAGTAATGAATACATTTCTTGTCAAACATTGTTACCCTCTCCTTTTTCTCCTACTATCCCTTCTCTCCCCGACCTTCCCTACTCCTAACCCCCAAAGTTGTAAAGTTCATTTCCAACATAGTGTCTTGTGAGTATCATTGTTGCAATGGGACATCCTGTGTTCTTATTTTAGCATTTTGTTATTCTCCTTCCCCTCCCCAAATTAGATAAATGTATATACAAGATGAAGGGTACCAAAATCAAATACAGTGACAACAGGGGATAAAACATAGGAGGAAAGAACAGACAAAAGAAACGAAAAATCACATAGTACATTAAAAACAAGGACAAAGAAAAACATCATGTCCATATCTTGGGGTACATTTCACTTAGCATCATCTTATATGGTTATATGTTCATAGCTTTTGAGTTTTCTGCTCATCTGATAAGATTATAGACTCTCTTTGGTGCTAGAGAATGTCTGTAGAACAACCAGCTTCCCAAAATGACTCAAGTGCTTGGGTTTCTTTGGCAGTTAGGACTACTAGTATTCTATGATCAAAGTTGCTGGTACTTGCTTACTTACGCCAGCAGTGTTAAATTCCTGAGTTGATCAAGACCATGCTGAAGTTGACTGTTTTGTTTTGTTCTTAATTTTTTTCTAGTCTCTAGGTTGCCTGATTCTCTTTACTGCTCAAGGTTGCTATCACCTTGCTAATTTTGTTTCCACTTCCCTTTTCTCCCTCACCTGGAAGTAGTTTTTCCTTCACTATCCTGACCCCTCTGAAGCAGTCATGAGAAAGGGAATTCTATTGAGCCATCTTGGCTGTAAATTCCTAAAACCATTTTAATGGTTTCCATTTTATTTTTCTCAGTTTGACTCCGTGGCTGATATATCTGATGTGTCCAGCAATGTCACTCTGAAAAGTTACACCATGCACTTTGAGGTACCAATGTGTGTTGCATGTGTGCAGACTGTCCGATGCAAAGCAAGAATAGTTCATTGCTTAGACCAGTTAAGCCAGGAATCTTGGATATTTAGAATAGCTAGACTATCTTATAGTGTGTTCTAGGTCCTAATCAAGGAGTAACTTTGTCATGCTGTTACCTGATTTCATTTGGAGGCTTGACTTCTATAATGAGGGGAACATCAGAAAACAAGAAAAGAAGGGGAGGATGTCAGTTTTCTTACAGAAATTCAGGACTGTGAAGGATAAAATCCTATTTCGTGAGGGGTGTTTTTGGAGACAGACTATACCAACATGAATGATATATGAAGAGATCACCTGTTAATCATCCTCCAACCTCTTCATCCCACTGGCAATAACTGACAAGCAGTTATTCCACAGGGAACAACAACATGAGCGGCAAGAGCAGTAGCCATCTAATGCCAATATGAGATCATTATTTAATTCTTATCAAGAAATCGAACACTGATATTCTAGGGGATCACAGTTGCTGCTTCTGAAGTCATCATTCCCCTCATTGGCAATGTGGTAGTTGAAGTTCCACGCTGTATCTCAGGTCCAGTTTCCATTTTCTTTATATGTTAATCACGGAAGGTAATTTCCTTTCCAGGGATTAGCTGATGCCAAAATTCCCAGGACTGGGACCCCTGGGAGTATTCGGAGCAGCCAGAGCATGTCTGTACTGCGTATTCCAAGTCAAAGCCAGCTAAGCCAGTCCTATTCACAGAGTTCTCTCCACCGCAGTGTCAGCCAGCTCATGGATATTCAAGACAAGAAAGTCTTGACTGATGAATCACTGTGGGAAACCATCATGGGCCACAGCAGGGGACTGGTGAGTTGATTACCCCACCTAGTCCAGAATCCTCTTGGTGGAACGATGACATGGAACTTCTGTACTTCATTGAATGCTGTCCTACAGCACTCTGCTTCTGCATCCAAGCGCCTGTCAAACCAATTATCTTGTAACTAACTTAGCAGCCCACGTTACTGAATTATTTGGCATTCTTTTCTTACACATAAAACAGCACAGTAAGTAGTACAGGCTATACTTTATTCATTTGAAGAGTCAGAAACATTGGCACTGACCTAACGTAAGCCATAAAATGCAAGTACCTGGTTCTCTTACAAAAGGGTGAGGAGAGGGAGGAATAATATATTGTTCTTACTACTTTATTGTACAGGGAATAGTCTTTTTCTCTCAACAGATTAAAGTGTTTTGTTTTTTTAACAGTCCTTTGTGCTCAAGGCTAGCGCTCTACTACTTGAGCCACAGCACAATTCCAACTTTTTCTGAGTAGTTTATTGGAGATAAGAGTCTCATGGACTTTTCTGCCCCCTCTGGCTTTGAACTGTGATCCTCAGATCTCAGCCTCCTGAGAAGCTGGGATTACAGGCATGAGCCACTAGTGCCTTTTTTCTTAAAAAAAAAAAAAAAAAGGAATCCTCAGGAAATCTGGGTGAATAATATTGTTACTATTATGAGCTTCATCCTTCATAATTTTGAGTGTTATAAATAATTGATTCTTTAAAAGATAAGCTCTTTATTACCTATTATTTGCTATGAGCCTCCTTATGGAAGAGAACTAAAATCCTAAATTGTTTTACCAACCACCAAGTTTCAACATTATGCTATCAATATAGATGTCCGTTTAAGTATGATTCCACTGGGCTAAATTTAGCAACAGCTAAGTTAGACCTTAGATACTATTACTGCTTTAAGGCAGAATTATTCACCTCCATTTGTTTCAACCATCTGTTTCTGTTTTCCTCACTTTTTCTTCACTGATAAGTTAGTGACTCTTGTGAATCTTTCCTTGACAATGGCAAATGACAAAGAAAATCTTTTGGCTCCAGGTTCCCTATCACATATATTCATATAATATAGTCACATATACTAATATACATTACATATTATTTAATAGCATATATTTAATACATATATTTTTATATTTCTGTACTTATAACAATTAGTATAAAGTAATTAACGTTATAGTATATATTAATATATTAGTATATATTACATAATATATTAGTTTTATTATATATTAATGTATACTAGCATATGTTATATAAAACATGTTATAAATTATATATACTACTGTGTTTAAAAAATTATATATACTATATATATTCTACATTATGTAATATATAAGTGCATATATTTATATATTAAAACAAGTATACATTAATAAAATATCATATAAATATATATTAAATTATATTTGATATTACATTATATATAATTCACATATTGTATTTATATATTTTATTTATATTATGTTGTATAATATATACTAAAATATATTTTATATAATATATACTAATATATTATAAATATTTCATATTTAAATATTACTATATAATAGTGTATGTTATATATTATATACAAATATGTTAGTATAATATACATATATTTTTAAAATATAAATATATATTTACATATATATTTACAAAGTTCTTCAACGTGAAGAAACATCCAGCAGTACAACAGAAGTAATCTTTTTGTGGGGTTGGGAATCTCCAAATACCATTTGATTCCAAAGCTCCTATTTGTAATTGTTTCACTATATTGTCTTTTTTCTTTTGTATAGTACTGACAGTATCTTTTGAATCAAAAGATTTGAATTCAAAATTTTTGAAGGTCCAATACTTGGCGAGTCACTTATAAATTTTAACAAAATTACAACCTACTAGATATACATGAAATATAGTAATGGAAGGTGAAGCAATAAGACAATAATAGTTTGCTTCAGCTCTTCCATTTATTCCTGGAATTAAAGATCTTTAGAAAAAATTATCTCCTTCCAACTTTACAGATGAGAAAACTGAGGCTTGAAAAGGTTATGATATCAACACAATGTAACACTCAAATCACACGATGGATTTGCTCACATGCAATATAGTAATTTAAAGGATTGTTTTTAACCAACCACACCTTAGGGTTAAACATAGGGTATAGGCTGTGAATAAATAGTAATTTTTACACCAATCTCATAGCCTTAAGTATTGATAGCAACTACCATAATCAATGGCGGTGACTGGCTTACTTTTCAGTATGTGGATGAAGAGGACCTGATGAACGCCATCAAGGGCTTCAGCTCCGTGACCAAAGAACGCACCACATTCACTGACACCCACCTGTAAAGGATGGAAACTTTCAAGGTCTAATGGATGGATACAGCATTGGCAACCCATTACTCCTGGGTTATCACAACATGAGTGCTGAAAAAGTTTCTCAACTCCACAACTATGTAAAGAAAGGAGCGCCATTTTCTGACAAAGATTGAAGAAGCGGTCTGAAATTAGGAAAAATAATTACCGAAAACATTGTTTTGTGCTATTGTGTGTATGATGAAGCGTGTAACTTTCACTTGATTTCGGTGGTCATGCCATCAGTTAATGACTTACCAGTGGCAATATAGGATGCTTCCCAGTTGTTAAGCCAGTGGTTTGCAACTATATTTTAGCATCTGAGGAAGGTGAGATTTGGAGGATGGAGTTTGGAAGCCAGTACAGGTAGAAAAAATCCATAAAACTAATTTCAAAATAACCAGGAAAAAGTCAGGCTGCAGGTATGACTCAAGTGGTACAGAGTGCCAGCCAAGCAAGCAAAGTTATAAACATAAGACTTTGATTTCCTACTATAATACAAGCTCCTCTAGGGAGGGAAAAATCACTGATGAAATGTTTCTGGTTTGACAATGAAGCAGGTATCACTGCTGCTTCTTTCTGTTTGCAATTTCAGGGCGGGAAGAAGCCCATGAGGAATAGCTATATGAATCATGAGAGCTGCAAGTGAAACCTAACCTCAGGTCATGTCAAGTCAGAAACAAACAGCACTGCAAATACACATTTAGCTAAAGATTGCACTTAACTAGGGTTCGATATTGACTCTGCCTCATGCATTTTAGTGTTCTTTCATTCATCTACACTTAGAAAATTTAAAGAGTAAACACCTAACTTGTCTCGATGCAAACACCTCCACTATCAACTAATGCTTTTGTTTCACATATTTTTACAAAGCTTTGAAATTCCAATTGGTGCTTTCACAAAATTCTGTCATTTCATTGAATGCCAAGGACTTCTGACATTTTCAACTCAGCACTACTGTTCTACTCACAACAGTATACATGGAATTAAAAGAAGTAAATTCCTATTTGTGTACCTTGCAGTTTTGAAATTCACATAAGCATAAAACTATACACATGTATGTGTGTGTGGATATATACATTTATGTGTCATTGTAATATGAACTATAACCTCTTCATTTTCAGATCTTACTACTTGTCCTAGAGTAAGAGTTGGCTACATCTTAATACCATGTCTATCCTTTTTTTAAAAGAGAGTATCAACTGTATGAGTTTCATTGTGATTATTTCCATACATACCTATAACGTAAACTGATCAAATGTTATTTGGCAGTATGGGTGTTTGAATGAAGGACCTATACTTGCTAGAAGGTATTTTACCTCTTGAACAATATCCCCAGACTATCAGAACCAGTATCTATGATTCATAAGTTCCCCCTTTGGATTACAAAGTTATTAATGGAAGTAATATGGCAAAAAAAATTTTTTCAAGTCATCAACATATTTAACTTCTTCCTAGAAAACAATGTAGGTTTCCCCTTCATTTATTCTTAAGAGTTTTAGTGATTCTATGAAATACCTTGAAGCTTTCTCACATACTATAATCTAGTCTGATAGTATTTTAAGCAATTTACAAAGTAAGGAATAAGCTCACTTCCTCTGCATGAAAATCATGAACTACATGGTCCCACACTCAAAGAGAGTTTCTGGGGGGTACCACAGCTATCCAAATCTGTGGTAGAGTTGTTCCTCAGACTCACTCCTGGACAAAACTTGCCAACCATCTGTCAAAAACACAGACCAGTATTAAACTGTTCAGCTTTGTCGCAACTGCTATGAACAAATCTGAAACTTCAACAAATCATGTAGATTAGGTAGTGGCTGCACAAAATTTTTTCTTGCCAAAAATTTTATACTTTCTGAAATGGAAACACAGCATTGACTAGTTCACTGGTCTTCACTTTTATTTGCTGATCCTGGATCAATTAGCTGTCTAGAGTTAGGGCAAATGAGCTAAGTGAGCTCTGTCTGCAAGTGAGCTACCTGAAGGATAGAGGGAAGAAGTGGCATTTTCTGATCATTGATTTGCTCTTGTATCCACACTTCTGGTGAATTCACAAGACAGGGCTCATGGTTGTTTTTGAAATTTTTAGTACTTTATTACTGTGTACTTCATAAAGCAGTTATAAAACTATAAAAATAGAAAACAGGGGATTTCTCTTGCTATCCATTTACTCCACTCATCTAGTAATTAAACTAATTCAGTCAGTGATCTCATTTGCATTTTTAACCCTACAAATCAGAGTGGAGAGATGCTGGTATGGCTTCACCTAGAACCCCACCCTGTCCAATACTCCAAATCTTATTTGACTCCTAAGATTCTGTTTTACTAGTTTAAGTGGTATTACATGCCAAACTACATAGACCATGTAGCTCTACACACAGTAGCTCCACCACAGTGATTTTTGGTTCAAGAGATCTAGGGTAGGGCTAAGTAGTGTATCTGGATTTAACACCTCCAAGGTGTCACTAAGAACCAGTAAAACTAAGCAACCTGGAAGAAATCCTGTACAGAAGCAATATGCTCTGCACAGGGATGAGGTCCCTTGACTTCTCATTCCCCCCTAACACAGCAAAAAACAATTGGTCTGCAAACTCTTAAAATCTGTTCTACATCTCCTCTGACTACTGGCCTATCAACTGCACAGGCTACACTCTCAGCTTAAGAACTAGCATGCTTTGTCATTCCTAGCACTAGCTATTTGTAAAGAATACATAGTTATGTTTTTAGAAACTGTAGTAAGAATTGTTTACAGATATAACTTCCAGTAAGTGAAGACTTTTAAATAAAACTCTGCTGCAGTACCTTATACTGATGTAAAGTTTGTGTTGGCCTCCATATAAAAATGATTCCACTGAACAACCTGTAAACAAAACATAGGCCAGTGAAATAATTCAGTTATAAGGAACTTAATTATGTTACAAATGAATAATTTGTTCCCAATACACTAATACCATGTATATTAGCCTAAAAATGGTTTAATAAATACATTAATGTGAATCAAGTTTCATTTAGTGCATTTATGAAAAATACTCTAGTGTAAGCACTTTAAGAAAATCAGACATTGTGGTAATGTTCTCAAGTGGTAATGTTCTCAAGCACTGTTTAAAATTAAGTGTGGACTCAAAAGAGTCCTATGTAAGATTCAAATTCAGCAGGACTGGGGGCCGGGAAGGTGGCTCAGTGGTAGAGCGCATGCCTTGCATGCCAGAGGCCCTGGGTTCGATTCCTCAGCACCACATAAGCAAAAAGAAAAAAGCCAGAAGTGGCGCTGTGGCTCAAATGGTAGAGCGCTAGCCTTGAGCTGAAAAGCTGAGGGACAGCGCCCAGGCCCAGAGTTCAGGCCCCATGACTGGACCCAAAAAAAAAAAAAAATTTAGCAGGACCCTGGGTTCTTTTATCCTGAGGATCTCAGTGCTAGCATCTGCAAAATAAGAACAATTCTTAGCAGAGTGTTATGATAATATAGGATCTAGAATCAGCACAGAATGACGGAAAACCCTTTGACATAAGAATTATTGTTTTCATTTTTCTACCAAAATGTAAACAAAAACTAGTAGAGATGCAGTTCAACTTTTTTCTCCTAGTCACAACACCCTTCATGATGCAAATGTAAAGAAAAAAATTCAAGCAAGTGATAATATGCTCAAACTTACAAGGTACCAGCGAGAACTCATATCTCTGCTTTAACACCAAGGTTTAAAATCCTGTACATGAAAGTAACAAACAAGAGTTAACATGTAGTATAATCCACAGATTAGTTTGACTTTTTATATTTTTACTATATGGTAGTATATACTGTCTTTTTTTAAATAGTCTTTTATTCCTAGTAAATACTGTTTCTTTAATTTTCTTACCTGCTCACCTTTCATAAAAACATGAGTAAAAAAAGTGGCGAGATATAAATATAGGAGTAAGGAAAATGGGTGAAAGAACTAGTCCTCAGTGATTCTATGATTACAATTTGGCTAAACCTTCATTTATAGCCCTTTAAATTCTACCTCTCTTATTATTATAGAAAGAAGAAAAAACACAAACACGTAAGAGAAAGGTTACTTCAAACAGATTGTTCATTAAATAACTAAAACCTCATTGCTTAATTATTTTTATTTGGTTTAATTGATAAATAAATACAAGAGAATTTTAAGACACTGACAATATAGTAAACTTTAAAGAATTTCAGTTTTACTCACTTATACTTCTTAGAATGGAATATATACATTATTCATCAACAAATGCTATTCATCAACAAATGCTTAATGTGGTTTAAACTTACATTCACTTTATTTTCAGAACTTGAAAAACAATCTAATTAAATGAAGGATATAAGAAAATTATTTCTTTTCCTCTGAGAATTTAAAATAATCTTTTTTACAAGTTAAAACTTTTAATAAAAAATTTAGAACTATAGTGCCTAAGTATAACAAAATTGCTACAGTTATGTATTTTGATCATTAATATTGAAAAAAAACAGATGGTGGCTCCTAATGCAAGGGAAATTAGTAACTGAGAATTTTCCCTTCTGGGGACTCAAAGTTTTGCCTTGATTATTATTTTTACTTCACCTTTTCAAACACAATTGCTCCAACTTAGAAGAATGTTTACATAGACTTTTAGCCTAGAATATTGGTTATACATGCTAAGATTTAAGAACTCCCAACAATGAGATTTAGAAAATGACCCACAATTAAAATGAAATGATCCTACACACATTGGAATGTGTTATTCCATATCATTAGTGTTTTTGAACTACATGATATATTTTTTCACAAACATAGCACCTCATCAAATTCCTGGTAAATACTTTGCAATCACAATAAAGGTTGGAAGCCTAAGCTCCAAGAAGAATCACATGATTCACTTAAGAAAGCATTCCAAGACATGGCTCAGGCATATGAAGATGAAAGAATACAGTCAGTTCTCAGGCATAAGATTAGGAGTAAAGACAACAAATCAACAGAGAGGAGCTAAACATTAAAGTGGACTCCTGCTTTACAAATGTTCTCTTAGACATGCTTGTGAAACTTAAAATTACAAAATGTAAAGAGGTTATGATGGTTGTATCTCTTTATTTCAGGTAATTCTGCTAAAAAGATACTAAATGAAGTCCAATTTTAGTTTGTAAAATTTTAGTGTAAAAAAAAAATCCAGAAAGGTTTCAATTTTCTTCTGGATGTAATAAAATTATCATTCATTTTGGTAAGTTTTCACAAGCTGTACTCTTGGCCGGGAGAATCACTTTTTTTATGCCGAGGAGATGGAGTGGTCTTTGTAGGGGATGGGGATGCGGTACCAGGAGAGTCAGTTCCACCATCCGAAGTGCTGGGTGAGGACGCCAGATGAGGAACTTTCTTTCTTCCGAGGAATCCTCCCCCTTCAAATCCGCCTCTCTTCCTGAATTCCACTTTGTTTTCATTTTCATCCTCTGATGCTCTTTTCTTGGATTCTGAAAAACCTTCTATTGTTTTATGCGCTTCAGGTCCACTTTCTAATTCTTTCAGACTTTTTATTTCTGTTCCAGGAGACTTTCTCTCAGATACATTACATTCTCCTGTTGCCCCTTTCATTTCAGCTTGTACTGGAGCCAAGTTACCATTTTCAGGGACAGCTCTTTCCACATTTCTGTTCAAATTAATTGTCTGGAAGTCCCTGTAACTGTGAAAGCTCTCAGTCCTTCTTGCCCTGGCTAACAAAGGACTCTCTCTATAAGGCCTCACAGAGCCATAAGTAGCTGCTTCGTGAATTGTTTCATGGTGCTGGAGCTGGAGGCTGAAATACAGGTTTTAAGAATTAAGAGTTCAAATCTCACTTGACTTTCTCTGGAATATTTCTCATTAACTAGGTAAATATAAGGTGTTTATATCTATATTTCTTTCTATAAAAATACCTATCAGATAGCCTACATATACATTTACCAGTGTAAATAATACCACAGACATATATTCATTCAAGCCACACTTTAAACAGCTGTCAAAAAGATGGAAAAAAGAAATAAGCAATCCATCTACCATTTATACTTGTTCCTCAGTTTTCATTTTGTTGATATGCTAAAATAAAAGGCATACTATATCACTATATCAAGTATGTAACGCTGTCCCTTAGGCAATAGGCACAGTAACGCCAGGCACAGGAGACCCTTACTGTCCACAAGGATGCAGTTCCACAGAGAAACCACAAATGCTCAGGATTCAGAGAGCTCAACACTGAACTGCAGAGGTTTGATTCATTGCTTCCTGTAACATGGCCCAACTTCCGCTATGATCATAGTGCTTTTCAGAATCTAAAAACTTCATTTCATCACTTAAGTTCACCACATTAACTTCGATCTTGCCTTTTAAAGGCATATTTTCACAAAATTAAGGGCCAGGGAACAGTAGGTCTCACAACAACTTAAACACCATCAACCAGAAGTGGGATACAAGAACTGAGTTGCATAATACAGATAGAATAATTCCAAATTTTTGTTTTAAGGTGTCTTTTTGTAAAATTTATTTTTGACTGGGTTTGATCAAAGCTTCATGAAAATAAATACATAAAGAAGGAATAAGGTTCTTACTGCTTCCCAAGGAGACATGCAATTTTCCTAATTTTGAGTGAATTCTTTTTTTTTCCCCTCCCAGAGCTGAGGACCAAGCTGAGGGCCTTGGCACTTGCCAGGCAAGTGCTCTTCCACTGATCTAAATCTCCAACCCCTTGAGTGAATTCTTGATCACAATAGGCATTCTAACTGGAAGTAATTCTCAACTCAGTTAAAATGAGGCAAAAATGAGGAGGGGGCCTAATTCAACAGAATCATTGCTTAGTATTTGTAAAGTCCTGGGTTCATTCCCTAGCACTCACTCTCACAGAGAAGGGGAAAAAAAAATCTTTACTATGTAAAGGATAAAATATGCATATAGATGAGAAATGCATTAAAATGTTAAATATTAAGTACCAAAGTAAAGTTTTAACTAAATACATACTACAACAAATATAGCTTTTGTAGCATCTGTAATTAGAATGCATCAATCTCCCCCAAAGCAATCAATTCTTTAACCTACCTAGAATTTGATTCTCGTAGACGGCTATGCTGAACCACAGAAGTTGCTGGACTAATGTTAGGAGTAGCACAACGAGATGTGCTCAGGTCACACTGGTCTAGTAATTTAAGTAGCTCTTCTTCAGTTGGACCTCCTACATCTGAGGAAAACAAACACTCCTTAGAATCACTTATGTCAAACTTGTACTTAGGTCAAGCATCTTTCTCAGGGGAACCTACCCCTATCTTCACTTTTGTTCACCATATCCATAGCAGTGGTCAGGTCCCACATTTGAATGCTGCCATTTGTATGGCCTGTAAACAAGTAGCGCCTTGGCCTTGAGCCCATCCTACTCGATCCCTCACATTCTCTCACTGTAAATGAGGATATTGTAGTACAGTCAACAGCTTGAATCTCACATATTCTGCAAAAAATAGTAGATGATTGTAAACTATGGGAAGCAATAACATTTTACAATCAAGATTTTTCATTAACGGCAATGTTAGAGTTGAATGAGTATCTAAAGCAGACTTAAAGGGTCAGACAAAGTCAATAGGTAGTGCAAGTCTTGCTTCTTTGGGAAAAGGTTCTTATACACCAATGCTTTATTTAGCTAACTGAAATAAGGCAAATAATTAAATCACAAAACCTAAAAAGTCTTAATGAGGTTTAAAAATGAACCATGAAAAACAAAGCTGAAAGCAAGCAGTCATGCCAAATCTTGAAAAGTCACTAGGACTTAGGTGAAAAGTTTAAGATATGAAACTAGGAAAAAAAAAAAAAACACAGATGGCCCGTATATGTTC